TTCTAAATCAATACTGTAATTATATATAATGAACTGTATTAGATCTTCTGTGTAATGAAAGATTAAGAAATCAAGAGTCATTTTGTACTACTTGGATTTAAAAAAAAACTTATCTGATCTTAAGCATCCCAGTTTGGTCTATGGTAGGTAAGAGGTTCATGTGTATGAAGGAGTTCTTTAAATTGAACCCCAAAGGCTTTGAGATAAACGAGTTACTCCCTCTTACGGAGTCTGAAATGAGACAATAATACTTATGAAAAAAACAGCTAATGAAGTGAAGTGTCACTGTGAAAAGGTCTTCAGTCTCTAAAAGTATGAGACAAAGACTGGAGTATTCTAGTGAAACTGAGTGAAACTGGACATACAGATCAATTCCTTAGTCTTCGTATAGTCTGTTCAGTGAGAGCACTGTCCAATATTACAAAAAACATACTTAATAACAATTTGTCCTTATTATTAAGAGAGATCAGATGATAGTGTGATTTCTGATACCAAGAAGGTCAAGTGAAATATGAATCTTCAACACACAAAGCCTGAACCAATGCCCACTCATGAGTCAGTTACTCCAGTGGGCTTTGGATCAGGCCCAAAAGCTCTTTACTCTTTATTGTAGTTCCTCTCTGAGCACTACCTTCCACCACTGTAATTATTTAAAAATCTCAGGAAGCATGTTTTGTTGAAGAAAACAATCAGATCTTTACGTCATTAATGGCATGCACTGTAGTGGGTATACCTGTCAGCATTTCACACTTTACCTATTACTATTGGAATTAAGATTGCATGCAAAGCTCCCAATAAAAATTGGAGTTCCTTTGTGAGAGGCTCTGTATAAATCCATAGTAAGAGACAGTGCAAAGAGCTTGTTCTGACAGTGCAAAGAGCTTCTGCTGATAGAAATTGAAACTGTAGTAAAGATTTTGGAAATACAACCCAAATAAATCTTGACACTTACTATCCATAGTCACATTTACAGTGACTTTATGTAGGCCCAATGCTATTTGTGATAAATGCTACAAATCCCCCATCTTGCAAAAATTTACACAAATAGCTTTCCTAGTGAGTGGAGTCCCACTGAACTATACTGCAGTGTGGCAGACAATTCAGTGCAGAATTAATCAAGACTTAAATGGTGCCTGTTAAATATTCAGGGAGATAATGGTGAAGAAAAAGCAACATGAATGTTATACCGTGTATTTCTGAATGTGTATACACATGCTTTAGGGATGAAGAAATATTCACAACAAATTTAAACGTTTAATATTTTCTGAATTTCATTGAGGATTGGAAATTGCTCCTATTTTCATGATATTTAGTGCTAACATGGGACCGTTGTCAAGGGCAATAGTTTTCACTCACAAATAAGCAAAATATCATGAGTTTTCATGTTTTCTAATAATTATATTTTAGTTTTTGAGGTGGCTGGTTGATCACAAAATCATAGACTTTTTTTGTGAAAGAAATCCTGCTTTTCTACATGGTTGTATTAGCTACACTATGGACTATACAGCATGCACATTTGGGTGGCAGGGGATATATATAGTTACAACAGAACAGAGTAGCAGTATATGAAAAAAGCTCTAGCGTTGAGAACAAGAAAATACTATAATTTTGTAAATAATACTAAGATGAGCAATGAATTGTAAGCCTGTATTGATAGCCCTTTCAGGTGGTCTGGTACTGTTTAGTTGGACTCTTTACTCAGATGCCTGACTAGGGAGGGCAGAAGCATGTCTTTAATCATGAAAGCAGCTAGTTACCCAAATAGAAAATCACAAACAGAGGTCTCGGGGCCAACTGCATGACTAGAAGCCCTTAAACTATTACAAAATCAATGAGAGTAACAATCAATTGTGTTAGTTAGGTCAGATATGAAACAATGTGTCTTGCTTGGACTCTGAAGCTTCCATTTAAACTTGAGATATACTAGCTTTTAAAATGCTCATGATTTGTAGCTCAAGTATTTCAAGTATTTCTGAAATATCCACTTCTTCTCTGGGGTGTTTGGTTTGATGTAGTCTTAAAAAAAAGAGCTTTTCTTTAAAATGAGCTTTATGGTGTTACATCCTGTTATGTGGGAATTTACTATTTAATCCTATGAAATGTAACTTACTGGAACACAGATTCCCCCCCCCCAAAAAAAAAGGTAGAGAAGAAAAAGAAAAAGCAAGCTGTGAGGAGAGTAAAATATAAAAATAAACAATTTATTTCCTACCTTCAGATTGCAGGTATGCTAAATCTGTTAATTAACTTCTTAGATTCATGCTAGACTGGCACATTTCTCCTGTTTTGCGCTCAATCCCCATAAGCCTCTGTAAATTTATGGTCTCTCTCTCCTCATGATATCTTCATTGCTGCTTCATTAACCAGTGCTCCATCAGAGCATTTCATTACAGCCTCTCTCCTTGCTCACTGTGTTGATACTAAGACACAGATACAAACTACCTATGAAATGTGAGGCAGTTTTTATGCTTCCTGCCATTCAAAAGATGGAAAAATCTTCTAATGGCAAAATCCCAAATGAAGAATAAATTCTATTTATTTCTTCTCTCCACACCCCATCCTCACCCCAACCTGAAAGGCGGTAGGGCTATTCTGTTAGTGCTCTGACTTAATTTTATTTAAATGGCTGTCATCATACCTTGCATCTGTTCAAGATGTTCAGTAATCCCTATGATAACTTCCATGTAGCATGCCTGGGAAGAGGCACAACTACTCTGGAAAGAGAAGGCTACTCAGCAACACAGTTCAATTCCATGTTCTTCAGGGCATGGAAGTATCTTTATTATATTTGCTGTTTTCTTTACACATCTCTTTAAATTTCACAAGCAAGGATGCTTCACGCTATACGTGTTTTCTTATTTCCTTTGAGTTTCAGGGAGCCAAGATATGTGCAATTCATTTTGATTAAGGGAGGAGGCATTTATAAAAGCAAACAGGATAATGGGATGACTCTACATGTTGAACTATCAGCCAGAGCTACTGTAATATTTGTAGTCAGGCAAAGAAATTAAGATCAGTGATGGTCCCCCTACAAACCCAGACTCTTCCGCTTACCCTCCAGAAACTATGATTGTGCATGCTTTATTTTTAAAGCTAGATTAGAAAAAATGAACAAGGTCTTTTTGGTTTGGTGCTCACAGACGACCCTAACATTTTTAGGTTCCTTGGAGTTTCAGAGCATGGTTTTCATGAATTTATAAAACTTTGACTTGTACTTTTGAACTGTCATTCATTAGATAGTCTCACTTTTGTATTCACACTCTGAAGTAATCTTCACTTTAAGAGTCAAATGCTCCCTTAGATTTCTACGCTATAGAATTAGGTCTCGGGCTGCACGGTGACGCCGAGATATCAGGCATCCCCTCTGCATATAGGTGGGTGGGAAATGGACTGCCCCTTGGCACTGCCCCTCCTCAAGATGATGGGTGGCACGACTATAGTGCTTACTTCAGGAGCATCAGTTCTGCTGGGTACTGAACCAGCACAATGTGCTCCTTCACTGTAGAAGCAGGTGGACCAGGAAGGGGGTGTAACTGCTCAAGTCAGTCCAGGGGTGTCATAGCAATGTGTTGCTAGCCATGACCAGCCCTTTATTATTTTCTGTTATTTGAACTGTAGTATGGCCTAGAGGTCCCAAATGGTGAGTTTTAAGGCCAGAAGGGAACACCAGATCATCTAGTCTGTCCTTCTGTCTATCACAGGCCACCAACTATGTGCTAAACCCAACGGCCTAAATTAGACCAAAGCATTATAGTCTACAAGAGACCAGACAGTTATGTGCAACACGCAGAGAATAGAAGAGACCCAGGCACACCAGAGCTTGAGACCCTGCAGTAGCAGGAAAATGATTAAGTGAGATGCACTTAGATAATCCTGGCAAGTGACCTGCACCCACACACTGGTGAGAAAGGCAACTTTGCCCCTCCCCCAGCCTTATAAAACCATTGCCAATCTGAAATGTGGGAACAGTTCCTTCCTGACCCCACATACTGAGATCAGTTAGAACCTGCACTTGTGAGCAAGATGTAGCCAGCCAAGCGTCTGAGAGAGAAAATGCTCAGTAGCACCTCAGAGCACTGGGCCTCGTAGTCCAATGTCCCCTCCCAAGCCATGGCTATCCCTAAGGCTTCAGAGGAAGGTGATAAAGGATGTGTGTGAAGGAAGATCCATTCTTAACCTGTGAAGATTGATGGTTGAAAACCTGAAGTGTGAGCTTTAGGAACACAAGACATAAATCAGGAGCTCCAGGCTCCCAACCCAGCATCAGGATCAGAGACCCCAATTGTGCTAAGTATTGTATAAACACACACGGATTGTTCGGACAAGGGGGATTTGCAGTGGTAGAACTGCACAGATACAGGTGTACACTGACACTCTGGTGCGGGGGAGAGGAGTTTGCAGCAGCATAGATACATTTTTATTACTTCTTCAGTGCAAAAACCACCCTGTGAGAGCCATGGCAATCTCCTTCTCAATGAGCATATAAATCCATTTGAACCAAGACATGATCAATGAATGTGACAAGCCAAAGGGAAGAGTGAGGGAGGAAGGGAGCATGCAGATATTGCAAATAAGATCACATGGTTGCACATACTTGCTACTGCACACGCTTGCTATTGCACAATTTGGTTCTGATGGTTCCATGGCATTTTAGTTTTGTTTTTAAATCAGAAAAATCAGCTATTTCCAACTGGCACACAAAAGCAACCATTGGTTGGTGGACTGCTTGCAGACTGCACTGTAGAAGTAGGTTTGGAGCTGGGATTTGAAAGAGCCTTATGGATTAATTCAGAAGGGTATTATATCTGTTAAAGAGAAATAGATTATGACCTCTTGGAAAGACAAACACAAATGATCTTTCTGATCTGTTTGAGTATATGTACTTCAGCTTACTTTTAAAACTAATTTTAATTCTGAACTCCAATCTCTTTGGCCTCAGATGGGAAAAGTGGGTTTTTAGGTACCTATCTCAATCTGGCTTCTTTTTTTGTTTGTTTCAGGTTACGTGTGCAAATTTAACAAATGGCGGCAAATCAGAACTTCTAAAATCAGGCAGCTCCAAATCCACACTAAAGCACATATGGACAGAAAGCAGCAAAGACTTGTCTATCAGCCGACTACTATCACAGACTTTTCGTGGCAAAGAAAATGATACAGATTTGGACCTGCGATACGATGCCCCAGAAACGTATTCTGAGCAAGATCTCTGGGACTGGCTGAGGAACTCCACAGACCTTCAAGAGCCTCGACCCAGAGCAAAGAGACGGCCGATTGTCAAGACTGGGAAATTTAAGAAAATGTTTGGCTGGGGCGACTTTCATTCCAACATCAAAACTGTGAAATTAAACCTATTAATAACTGGGAAAATTGTTGATCATGGCAATGGGACGTTTAGCGTTTATTTCAGGCATAATTCCACTGGCCAAGGGAATGTATCTGTGAGCTTGGTGCCCCCTACCAAAATAGTGGAATTTGACTTGGCACAACAAACAGTGATTGATGCCAAAGATTCCAAATCCTTTAACTGTCGTATCGAGTATGAAAAGGTTGACAAGGCTACCAAGAACACTCTCTGCAACTATGACCCTTCAAAAACATGTTATCAGGAGCAGACCCAAAGTCATGTGTCATGGCTCTGCTCCAAGCCCTTTAAAGTAATCTGTATTTACATTTCCTTTTATAGTACAGATTATAAACTAGTACAGAAGGTGTGCCCTGATTACAACTACCACAGTGACACACCCTACTTCCCTTCAGGTTGAGAATGAACCTGAGGAACCAGACTGAAGCCTGAGGAATAAAAGAGGTCATATGACAGGGCTGTTACCTCAAAGAAGAAGGCCACACCTATTGCCTGGAATGTGTCTACACTCTGCTGCTGCTGTCAAATGGCTGCAAATATGTTAGTGGAAAACAATCTAATGTGATTTCTGCCCAGTCAGCTCCATGTATCAGTCTAGTTGTAAATCACTATGGATTCAAAATAAAACCATACAGACATGCACTCTTTTCAGCTCACATCTATTGAGATTCCTGTTAAGAGGGCTTTCATTGTCTCATACATAATGTTTCAGGATAACCTATCATCAAGCCAAAAGGATTAACTACACAGAGAATGGTTTCTAACACAAACTGTTATGGAAATCTCCTTTAAAGTCTTGAATACATGCCAATCAATAATCCCCACTCATGCATTTTACTGCTTAGACTAGCTGTACTGGTAATTAATACTATAGGAGTAAATGCTTGTTAAAATGGGAAAAATGTGTGTCTAGAGTTCAGTATTCCTTATTATATGAACACAGCAAAGCATAGTGACTTTTTTCCAGCATATAGTAGGCACATTCAAGGTGACATTAGGTGGCTCTTTTTCTGTGGAGGGAGCCTATTACTCGTAAAGATGAGCAGACATTTGGAATTTACATGTGGGCAGACTTTATGGTTTCAATATTTCTCCACCGAACATTTAAATTAGCAGAGTTGAGACCAGCTGAGCTACTTAAAAACTCTTCAACTCTTCTCCAAGAAGGAAAATGCCTGATACACAACATGTAAGTTGTAAGTGGCTGTCCTATCTATATTACAAATATTGTAACAAATTCAATATCCTAGTCTTCATTTGTATGAATGGTTTGTATTGTACATAGTTTAACCAGTGTTATTTGAGCTGCTTATTAATATTAACTTGTAATCGTCTCTCTGCTTGTTATTGGTTAAAAACAATCAAGGAAATGGGGAACCCATTTTATCAATGTAGCTGTAAACTCCATTAAAGAGACAGATTTATGTACAAAGCATTTATTCAGTAAAGTATCGTTGAGAGCTATACATATACAACATTACAGTCTGTCTGTATTTAGATATTTTATTTCCAGACAAAAAATGAACTGTACATAAAAATAAAATACTTAAAGTTGAGTTTCAGTATGTACTGTGCAGATGGTGGTTTAAATGGTCTCACAAAAAGACTATACTCAAACTCCATCATGGTTTTCAATCTTGTGTCTTCAAATTTGTGCAGAATTATCCCAAGCTATCACATGCAGGTAGTTCTCAATGCTGTCACAGGACATTGTTGACTTCAATGAGAGTAGTCCAGAACAGTTTGCAGGAGCAGGGCCTAAATTATGAGTCATAAATGAAAGTGATTTATTAATTTAAAAGTGGGAAAAGCTGTTCTCTCTGTGTGTGCACCAGTCTGCCTTTGCCTTAATTCTAGCTTAGTGGAGGCACAGACCTCTTTGTATGTAGTGGAAGAGTTTAATTCCTGTATCAAGAAAGCAGTTGATTGTGCTTCATTTTTGTATATAGTGGCACACTTTGCCCTCAGCTTCTAGCTATCCAGTCACAATAACTTCACTGATATGTTTACACCTAATTGAAGTCTGAATTGAAAGGATCTCAGCATTCCCTCTTGTTTCTCTTAGGGTTACTATTTGTGCCCATGCACACACATGAATTATATCCTTCACTCGTAGATGGCTGCCAAACCTGTGCTGAGAAAAGTCAATGCAGGAAACAAAGAGAAGCCTTTTCAAAACCCAAACATGCACTTCTCTAATGCTCCAGAGAGTCAAAGGTCCAAGCAATGAGAAATCAGAGACCACTTCCTATCCCATGTTGCACTGCATGGGAATTAAATCAACTTCCTAGCTGACTCTTTTGCCACCTTAACCCTCTTGCTAAAGAATAGAATTAAAGTGAAACAAATGAATAAAACTAATGACAACTGTTTCTGCCATTGACTAAAAGTGAAGGAGAAACTTCTACAGTATTAACTGTCTAACTCCTTGGAAACAATATGATAATGGAAATTTTTCCTTCATAATAAGAGACACTTCTAAGGACAATCTGATTACCTTGGATCAGCAAAGTCTGCACAGTTTTGGAGAAAGAGATGGTCCAAGCCATAATGTTTCTGACTAACATTTCCACAAAGACCAGGAATACACAGAGCCAGGATTTTGCTTCTGCTCCACCTCTGCTAGAAATTGTGAATAGACTGCTAGTGATTCATGATTTGTGCTGTGTGAAGAGTATCTGTTCTGCATATTATGATATATAAAGTTGAAGTACTCCACTCTAAGGATGGGCTCCATGTTGAAGTCAGTGGGGCCAGGATTTTACATTAGGAGCGTGTAAAATACCAAGTATTAAACATTATTAGTAACCATTATTAAGATAAATAAGCATTTATACAGGGAATGAGTCTTCACTGACATGCACTTTGTGTAGTCATTTATATTTGTAAAAGTAGGTGTAAATCTCTATCTCTGGTAGTAATTTATATCTGTTTTGTATGTCTACTCAGTCATAATTTTCAGTTTTTCCCTACTCTTAAAAAAATCCAAAATTTTCCAACTTATACACTATATATATGCTTGCTTACTATATACCATCACTACAACCACTACCAATCTAAAAACCAACCAACCAACAGATGGGGAGTCAGCTCATTTTAATGATGGAATCTTTATCCTTTTGCTATTTCTGTCACTCTCATTAATACTTTTTTCCTTAATAGTTTTCCTTTGAATTGACTGTGGTTTTTCATGAACATACTCGACTTTGGAATAGGATGAATCCTTTTTGTTGATCTGGATGTGAATTAGTGATGTAAATAGGAATTATAATACGCTGCCTAGTTTTTTTTCCATAAGAAGTTCTTGGGGAAATACTGTATGTGAGGTAAACTTGCTGAAACATGGTTTTAGTTTTCCCATGTAAAAATTGACTCTAATGAATGTAAATACATAGTGCCCTGGCTCTGTTAAACATTTTACTTCTGGGTAATTGGGTCTGTGAGTCAGCAGTGATAAAGTAGGCCAGGCAATTTTGGATCACTAATCTGGGGCATTAGAAAGATTTGGAATGTTCCACATTTTCTTTCTGAAGATACATATTTAGTAATTGAGAGTGTTGATCTTTGGTTTTGAACAATCTCCCAGGCTATGGAGTATTTTCTTTTCTTTTGTTTTATTTTAATTTTTCAGAATTGTCTCATGCTTTTATCATTATTTTACTCTGTATGCAAGAGATAGTTTGATTATGGGTCGCCAAAATACTTGCTACTGACCAACCATTACTGAAAATTGATTAAAATGGCACAAGAATGCATGGTACGATTCACAGTATGTGTGTATGATACTCAGCATCTTCATATGTAAAAAAAGTCCAAGATGGTGACACAGTGATTGCACTAAAGCAGACATTAACATAGTCAGCTATGAGCTGACTTTGATGCCATGATACTAGTAGCATTGATGACACTGGAATGAAGAGTGGAAATATGAATAAAAAAACCAGGGACACACAGAAGCTGGGCTGGCTTGACTTTCTAGTGCTGGAGCACAGTGCTAAACTTTTAAGAAAAGTGGGAACATCTTCAGTTTATGTAATGACAGTTGATATTTTTGTCAATCTATATCAGAGTCAGAATATCCCTCAGCATCTTGCCTCATGGAGATTTCACTTCTATTGTTGTAATATAGCCTGGCCTTCTCACAGATCGTAAGCAAATTAGCAATTCCATAAGAAAAGCAGCTCTTTGGTTAAAATGTGTGATACTCCCAACTAGTGGAATTCAGTGAGAAATGGCAAACACTTCATTCATGGTAGAGTTGAATGAAAGTCCCAAAATGTTTCAGTTCATACCACTATGCAGGTATAAAAATGTTTGCTCATTTAAAACAAAGTTTTCACTCTAGGAAAGTTATAGTGTAATTGAATGGCTGAATCCTCACACATTCTCAGTCAGAATTCTATACCATCATTTGGAATCCTCTAGTCTCCTAAACTGCTGTAAAACAATCTGTTAGATGACTGCACAGGCAAACATGCATTGCAATGAATCTTTTGCTCTGAGTTGGACAGCCACCAGAAATGGAAAACCTCCAGCTGCCCCTTTACCATTTCATCCAAAGGACAGTGGTCACCAGATAATATTGAATTGCAGTGTCAGCACTGCATGTTCCGTCCATGCCCTTCTAGATTGCACTAAATTTTAAAGGAATGTTCCATCCTTATTGCAAGGTATATGATAGTGTATTTAATGTTAAAATGGATTTCAGGTCAAATAAGATGCAGAGAAAAAGTTTCTATAGCTCACTAATATGATCATGTCTAAACATGGATGTGTCAAGGGACCAAGACTCTCACTGAGTTTTATGGGAATTAAATTGGGCTCCCAAATCTACTGTATGTAAATAAGAAACATGGAGTGCAATTATATCTCACACAAAGGGTACATCTACACTGTACTATAGGTCAAAGTAAGATAAGCAAATTATGTATCTTATTTCAATGTTATTTTGAAATAGCTTATTTTGAAATTTGGCACTGTCTACACAGCACTTTGAAATAAATTGCTATTCCAAAATGTCCCTTACTCCTTGTGGAACGAGGCTTATAGGGACATTGGAATGGTGAGCCCATTGTATATCGAAATAACAGGTGCGTTCAAAAGACACAGAATAGCTATTTCAGGATATTTTTGTGACTCAGAACAGTTCCAGCAATCTTTTGAATGTACTGCCATTAAGTGCCACTTCCATATCCAAAAACTTTCAGATACAAGAAGAAAGTAAATACATGAAGGTATCATACTATTGGCTAAGACAAAGCAACAGCAATTTTAAACCAGTCACTTTTCTTGCCAAAAACACACAAATGGATTTATTTTCATTTATTCATGTCTACAGTGAAGTTTAACACCTATCTTTTTTGTTGCTTGTTAAATGAACACTTCTTAAAATTCAAAAGCCACATTTCTAAGGAGCGAATAAATTCCCAGAACTGTGGAAATGTTGTGTTCACTTGGGTATTATGTACCTGAAAGCATCTGCTGATAAGTAGAACACAGTTTCTCCAAAAGGATAACTGCTTCCTCTGAGCTAAATAAAATCTTTTCATTATTTTCTGCTTTTCTTGTTAATTGACTAAAATGTTATCATTACCCAAACTTACAAATAGATCACCTGTTATGTAAAATTCTTTTTCTCCTCATTAAAATGTTAACATTTCTCTTCAACTTGTTTATTTCACTTGTGCTGTACAGCCGGCAGATCTCTAGTTCAACTTAGACTGAAGTCAGAGACGTGAAATAAGTGACACCAAATCATTTATCTTAGTCATTCAGAAGAATAAAGATATATTTTATTAAAAAATCGCAGATACTTGTGATTGCTTTGGAGTGAGATAAGACCAGCTGCTCCCTGCAACTCTAGTCTTAATTAACAAACAGGAAAAAAAATCTATGGGATGATTAAGCAAAGTTAAAGAAGTGAGACAAACTGACAAAAGCCAAGGCAATTACAAGTTAAACCCAACTCTCTATTCTACATTCATCTCCATTGTGCATGGGCATTGCAGTACAGATGGCCTGAAACATTACATCAGTGTGAATCATAACCCTTCTTTTACTTCTGTTGGGTGTTTGATAGTAGAATCAATTTAGTTCCTTGGCAGGTTTTAGGAAGAAGGACTACACTGGGATTATACATCTCTTGCACCAAGTGGCATGGAGTTTTGTTGGAGCTTGTGTGAGATATTGCGCAAAGCTGCCATGAATGGTGCATCTCTTCATCTGACTTATTTGGTTCTTTGTAAAAGACTCATCCACTTCCACTTTTTGGTGGAGAAGGCATTTGAAACAATAAAGGAGAAACTATACATAATACTTACCATGAGAGTTGTGAAGCTTATTTAAAATAATGTAAAGCATTTTGAGCTATTTAATTAGTAACTGGGAAAGGTGGTATGGGGTGAAGTTGGAAGATCTACTGCTCAGTGGTGTGGTATATGGTTAATACAACATTACTAACCATAATTGTAAATACTAAAAGTAGAGAGAGGAACTGGGGCAAGCTGGAAGATCCGCAGAACATCCCATCCTATTCCTGCAGAGGTGAAGGGCTATGGAGATTCCAGGAGGCCTGGTAGGGAAGAGGTTTCCCTTCCCTTCCAGTGTCCTCAGTACATAGCCTTATATTCAAGCTGTGTACTCACGAGTAAGATTTGAGCCTCGGGGTGTGCCTAGACTACATCCCTTTTTCAACAGAGGGATGTAAATTAGACACTTTGAAATTGCAAATGAAGCCGGGATTTGAATTTCCCACACTTCATGTGCATAATCGCATCATGGCACTCTTTAAAAAAGCGCTATTTCGAAAGTGAAACCGCAGTCTAGATGCGGTTCTTTCAAAAATAGAAGCCTTTTTCGAAAGACGGATCTTTCAAAAAAGGCTTCTATTTTTGAAAGAACCGCATCTAGACTGCGGTTTCACTTTCGAAATAGCGCTTTTTTAAAGAGTGCCATGATGCGATTATGCACATGAAGTGTGGGAAATTCAAATCCCGGCTTCATTTGCAGTTTCGAAGTGTCTAATTTACATCCCTCTGTCTAAAAAGGGATGTAGTCTTGACACACCCTCACACTCATGGTCTGCCTACTGTAGGCAAAACAGGTCAAGAGAGACAGATACGTTGGTTCATATTAAATGTCACATTTCCTCATCTTTGTCATATATTTAACCCTAACCCCTTTCCCCCCCATTGGTGGGCCTGGGAACAGCAGAACCATTACACCAAACAAAGCAAACACACAAAAATTAAATCTTAATTGTAACCTCATCTCAAGGTTAGGTTAGGTTAATCGATGCCACCTGAGCCAGAAAGAACAAAGGTGATATCAACAATCACTGTGTAACTAAACGTATTTACTTTGGGCCATCTCTCTATAACACTTTATTTCAATAACCCCATTGATATAAATGGAACTACTTTTTTACCCAGCATGCATACGTGTATCATCAAAGTCTATTCATTTGAGAAAACTCAAAACATGATGTAGTGGTATTTTTGTTGTTATTAAATGTACTAGCTGCTACTGCTTTAAGCAATGACCTTATAGATAGAAAGTTCATTTCTCTACCAAAGCAAGAAACTGTTTTCTACAAGCCATTTTTTTGATGTTTTTGTCCAGTCTCATTCTAATGGTCCCAAGAATGTGGACTTCTACCTTTTTCCTAAAGGAGACTATACCACTATCAGCTGATTGTCAGAACACTTTTCCTCATGTTAAAAAATGTTCCCTGGTCCAGTTTCATTCTTTTAGTTCAGGTTAGACCACATGAGTCGCACTAAGTTGTCATTGTTTGAAGGGTTTAAACATTCATAGATGTATTATGTCTGTTCTTAAATTATTTAACCAAATTATCTGTATTTCTACCTTTCCTCCATCAACTGCTTCCACTGCCCAGATCATGTTTGTGGGACCTCTTTTAATTTCTCCTTGTTTGTCAACATCTTTCTGGTAAAGAGAAGCCTGCAAATGAATGCAGCATTCCAGGCACAGTCCTGCCAAAGCTGAGTAGGACTATTATCTTCTTTCCCAGTGATTAAATGCCTTTGTGTGTGTGTAGCCCCAAATCATATTGAAAGCTCATCTCACATTGGTTTTTCACACTAACTTAACAGGGGGTTTCCTTGTTACCCAGCTTTTCCCCTCTTATTCAGCATCCATGTTTTATTTCCTCATGTGCATTAGCAGGCAGTTCCCTAGCTTGTTATTTCCTGCAGCTCTTTCTCCTTAGAGTCCCCTTTCTATTATACGTCTATGCTCATTGCTATGTCAGACTTCCTCTTTATATAATGTCACCTGTGAACATCATTACTATGCTTAGTCCCACCACTTCCAAATAGTTAATTAAAATATTTTAAAAGACCAATCCCTGCAATGATTGCTTGTTGTAGCCCATTGGCCCCTTACCATACCTTGACACATTGCTGTTTATCATTATCCTTCATTTAGGATTATAGAGCCATTTTAAGTCCACATGATAGTGTTTTAACCTAGGTCAATTAGGATTACTTTTGAGTTTCAGAGACACGCTATCAACTGTTTTACTAAAATCCATCTAATAGGATGAATGCATCAAATACATATGCTTATTCCTCATCTGGGAATTTAAGTGTAATGTAAAATAAGAGGTGAGGTTTTAATTACAGCAGGGAAAAGAGTGACAGAAAGATTAAAAGGTCAAACTTTCAAAGATATTTAGGTGCCTAAAAATATAGCTATAAAGCACCTGAGTGATTTGCTTTACCAAAGCAAATCAAGACAGAGCTGGGAAGAGGACACAGAAATTCCAATTGCTGCTCCACTGTTAATCATTAGATGCATCTTTCTTTTGCTTTACCAGTATTCCTTGATTCCTACCTGTCCTCCACTTCTGGGAAAGGAAAACATAACAGAAAGTTATAACACAAGGTTTCAATACACAGCTTGAGATTTCTTTTTGTCTTCCACTTCCTGTCCTAAAAGAAAATGCTCTCCAAGTGTTTTTCTTGTACCTTACTCTTATGTGGTTCAAAATATCTGGTGGCAAGTTGCCAGTTGAAGATAATTAGTTTCCACTTATCACCAATTATCTTTTCACATATCTCATTTACCAATTTCTGGAACTTTTCATTGATCCATCTAGCAAATCCTAAACCTTCTCTCCCTTGCAGAAAATGGGGACATAGCCATTCCACTAACCTTTCACCTGCCAGCATTGGTTATGTTCCATCTGTTATCACTGTGGGACATATTACCGTAAATGCACAGGCTGTCTGTTGTGCTTCTTCATTTAGCTCAATAGGTTCCTGATTCAGGGCACATTCACCTCATTGTAATGTGCCAGCTGAGCAAATCTGCTATAGAAATCACTGATGGAGAACACATATGAAACACCAAATGCAAATGCTAGTGTTTGCTTCCTTTATAAATTTTAGCATACTGGTTGTGGTACCTACCTAACATGCAGGAGACCATATTTCAACTCCCTGCTCTGTCTCATGAGGCAAAGGGTTTTGAACAAGGGTCTCCTGTCTCTCAAAGAAATGCCCTAGCCACTGAACTATGGGGTAGGAAGGAGGGCTTTATTAATCTCTCCTGGTGAAGCTATCCTACTATGTATTGCAAATTAAATATTAATTGGGCAAGAATGATAATGACTATATACTCCAGTAGTTTTAGTACTCACCTGAGAGATAGGAAACTATTCTTCAATGCCCTTTTTTCATCAGGCAGAGTGGATAAGCAATCTGTGCTTTACCACACTCTTGGTGAGTGGCTCAAACCAGTGGGATCATGAGTTATAACAGCAACCCTGCATTTTGTCCCTTCTCCCTCCTTTGTGGATTCTGGCTCGAATAGCTGTGAGTGACAGCCTTAGAATCCAAGTCCCCAACTTGGGCTCTCTTCTCTGCCTTCTATGCAATCAGAAACTGTATTTGATTG